AAAAAAAAAAAAAAATAAAAAAATAGAAAAAAAGAAATAACGCCCTGGATAAAATGATCAATTCTGGATAAAAATACACATGACAAAAAGTGACTTGAAAACGCTAGTGAGAGGGCTAGAGAGATGGCTCAGAAGTTAAGAGCACTGGCTGATCTTCTGGAGGTCCTGAGTTCAATTCCCAGCAACCACATGGTGGCTCACAACCATCTGTAATGAGATCTGGTGCCCTCTTCTGGCCTGCAGGCATACAAGGAGGCCAAACACTGTACACAATAAATAAATAAATCTTTAAAAAGAAAGAAAGAAAGAAAGAAAGAAAGAAAGAAAGAAAGAAAGAAAGAAAGAGAAAATGCTAGTGAGAAAGTGAGGGTGGCAGGCAGGGCTGAGAGAACCAATGGCCACAGGACTGTGTGTCGTAGCCACCAGCCTCACACATGTTGACAACACCTGGTGTGGCTCCTTTGGGAATGTCCTTGGCAGTGACTTCTGCTTCCCCTCCACTGCTGGTACTCTCCCCTCCAGAAAGGCCACAAGCTGCATCTACATGCTTAATGTGTCCACTGCTAAATAACCTTGCCCAGAGTCACAGAGGTCGGGTGACCTCCTGATAACATCAGGTATGACAGACAGTTTCAGCTTTATCCTGTGCACCACCCAACACCAAGCACACAAACTGCCATGGGGAGATGCACACCTCAGATGAGGAAGTCCTTGCTTCTAACTCTGCCACTGTCCCATCGCACGGCTCATGTCCCAGAGTTCCCTGAAATGGGGCTTTGAAGGCCACAGCCCACTTCATCTTCTCAGGAGACGGACTTGGATCCAGCAAGTTACAACAGCCAAAGGGCTGTAGGGAAAAGTGTTCCCCTTCTCTACCCACCAGGAAATGCAAAGTAGCACAATGAGACACCACCACACACCTAAGGTGGAAGGTGGCAATGGCAAAGTCTTTGGATGCTCCTCACTGCCTTCTGGCAGGACTCTAGAAAGGACATGCAGGTCAGGCTCGCTTTGAATTCATGAGTCCCCTCCCTCAGCTTCCTTAGCGCTGGCTGGGATTATAGGCATGCGCTACCATGCTCAGCTTGGAATGGCAATTTGTAATGAAGTTAAATCCCCCACCTGTCATCTCACCCAACAATTCTACTAGTGGGTGTTGCTTGAGAGAATGAATGTGCACCCTCAAAAACCTTATACTAGGGCTGGAGAGATGGCTCAGTGGTTAAGAGCATTGCCTGCTCTTCCAAAGGTCCTGAGTTCAATTCCTGGCAACCACATGGTGGCTCACAACCATCTGTAATGAGGTCTGGTGCCCTCTTCTGGCCTGCACGCATACACACAGACAGAATATTGTATACATAATAAATAAATAAATATTTTTTTAAAAAAAACCTTATACTAGTCATTCTAGTCAGTATTGTCACCTCA